TTGAGAGTGATATGAAAGCACATAAAGAAAGATGAAAAAAGGAATACAAAGAACCAGATGGCCATGAAAATATATACCAATCTGAATTGAAAAAATTATATGTATACTAGCTACCATGTTGTTATCCCTTTTTAATGAAGAGTGAAATTTAAGACCACTGAGCTTTCAACCCTATGATTTGTTTTTAAATAATAACTATTCAGAACAATTATCTTTTGGAAGGTTTGTTCCCCTATTTTATCCTCAGCACTACAACTCCAACCACTGCATTCCCTTTCACTCTAAAGTGCTTCTTAGTACATGTGTTTCTTAGTATTCTGAGCTGTTTTTCTATTCGATAAATATTTTAACTACCGTGCATGAAAGAGAGAGTCCGGCACTTTTTAAGAGTAATGCTTCTGAACACTGGGCATCCAACTGCAGACCAAATGTGGCTCAGAGAGTGGCACTGCAGGTTTTCCTTACTGTACTATCACTGTTAAACCCAGCCTGGAGAAAATGCGTCCAACTATTCATTATGACTAAGCAGCACAATTTCCAAGACTACTAAAATATCCTTCAAGAGCAGCATACACACACATGAACACATGTGTGTGCAGAAGCACATGGACACATACATAGATGCACGCAGACACACAAACACAGAAGCTTATAAATTAAATTATTTAGCATCATTTTGGCAATACTGAATCAATATAGTCCTAATGCTGCATGTTAAATATTGTGTGAATGTATTTTCTTATATTAATGCACTATTATAAATACACTGCAGAACCCTAAAGTGAGAAACAATTTTAGCAAAATATTTTAACATATGTAAAAGCTCTGAGATATTTCAGTGACACATCTTGCTTGCCTTGCTTAAGTGAGCAAGGTGGTCTGCTTTTCAGTCCTGATCTTGCTGTCTCTGAAGCAAGTTTTGCCATTGATTTCAGTGGGAGTAGGACCGAATACATGACCTTTCCCTTTATTCCCTATCAGAAAGGGGTCTGCTTGCTAGTGTGAGTTACAGTCCTTTCCCTAGCAAACTGCAATATTTACAACTTTTGAAAGCCAATCATATAGATGCAAGTATTCACAAAATAAAAGAATAATAAGCACAAATCCTTACCTTATATTTCTGCAATGCACCCCAATGTTTTCATAGCCATCCTGTGCAAAAGCTGCAGCAAGCGGAAAGCAGGCAGAGTCTCAGCTCTTCAACCGTGAGTGATCTTGTTGTGGTCAAACAAATTCAAACAGGATGAATGATAAGTTCCCTTTCCTAGGCATTTACAAATGGGAGGGGCAGAGAGCACACTAATGCAGTAATGGAAACCTGATCTGTGTTGTATATGCCTCTGGGTCCTCCTCCCTCCGTCAGCCTCTCTTTCTTTTTCAGATTAACTGTACCACTGCAGCATGACTGTCAGGAAAAGGGGATTTAAGAACTATATGCAAATGTTCTTATTTTATACTTGGTGGAGGGAAAACAAGAAGCCCAAGTCCTTCAACCTTAAATACACCACCGGATCAAATAGCAATGCCTAAGAAAATGTGTACTAAAGGAGGTAACGCTTTGTTAAAGAGTACAAAGGCAGTCTCAACTCAAAGTGGCATCACCATAACTGTAACAGTGGAAAAGAAATCACCTCCTGCTAAAGAGGCAGCACTGAAGGAGTCTCTGAATCATGGGAATTTCTGCAATGAAGAACCACAACAGAATGAAAGGTTCAAATGGGGGCACATGGCAACACCCCCCCAAAACTAATAATAATGATCTCATGTGACCAACCTCATTTTTCCATCTTCTGTTCTGTTTTCTTTTCTTTGTTCAAAGAGTCAATCTTTTTTCTTAGATCTATGATTACCTTATTCCTATGGCAACTTATTATATCTGTTCTGACACATCAATCCCGATTCATGAAAGCACCCCTATTGAGAACAGCTCTACAGCATGTGCTAGACTAACATGGGCTCTAGGGTATGTCTGCATTGCAGACTGCACTGTGGACACCTGTTCTAGCTTTAAGCCAATTAATTCAGGTACTAAAAATAGGTTACTATATAGTTGCATGAAACTTCATAGAATCATATCATAGAATCATAGAAGTAAGGTCAGAAGGGACTTTGCAGATCTTCAAGTCTGACCCCCTGCCTGGGCAGGAGAAGAACTGGGCTCAGATGACTCCCACCAGGTAGACATCAAGCCTCTTCTTAGAGACCCCCAGGGTAGGGGCCAGCACC